TCACGAACTTTTGAGCAACATGATCATTCACTTGACTGTTCGACCAAAAGTATTGTCGGAAACTCGGAAAAGAAAAGTCCTGAACTGGACGAATAAAGAAAGAGGATCAGTGAAGTAAAAAAGACGACGTTGCTATCGATGAAAATTTATCGACACTAGTGAGGATATGTTGAAACTCAACACCGCCAAAACATCAACCGTGTTAAACTCTCTCAGCTAACTTCTGTTGTTCAGTAAATCCCCTTTAAATGCAACTGGGGGTGACTGGACTCTGTAAACAGAGTTAAAAAGGACTGAGTTACATTATCAAAGTTTGAACAGTCCTGGTCTCGTAGAAAAATCAAATAGTGAGTTTGCCATGCAATCTACTGGTAAGATGCACAACCAGTCGGCAAAGAGTACGAGAACGCAATCAGACTTCTGAAATAAAATGACCTTTACACCAACGTATCCGAAAACCTGGAAAAATGGTCATGACTAGAGATCATACTCTCATAATTATGAACCTTCGTATTATGACACTCTCCTCAGTCAGCTGGCCAAAAATGGCAAGATGCTCTAGAAAGTATTGAACAGGAAGCTCTAAATTCCCTAAATTGAGCCACTGACGGTTACATCGCCCAGCTGGGGGATAGGTTCTAAGCACCAGTACCATCCAAGACTCCTTCGTACAACATTTACCAACACTGCTGACTAGTCGTCTGCTGAAATCAGAAGGGGATGTAAGAATACTGCCTGACATGTTAATTCTGAGCGCAATCTCATCGGGAACATCCCAAGGGTGTATCGTTATGAAAGGTTTCGCAGAAAATTTGGACCCTGAGTATGCAGTCATTTATATTATGAGGTATAAATTTATGAAGCAGTCCTTGAGGCTCAAGAACACATTGACTCAACACGTGGAGCTACCAGCCGAGAAAGATGGGATTCTTACCTCAGTTAATGAAGAATGTCTTCCAATCTTCAAAAATGCGGCTTTAATTCCCGAAGCTTTTAGCTGATAGACGTTGGTTACCAAATGGAGTCCACATGCACCCGGACGAACTCATTTTAGTACTAATATAATGATATACCTAATCCTAAAGTTGTAAATTTGTCATGATGTGAAAACCTAATCCATGAGATCTAACGTGAAAGTCATATCATTGGCTGTTGCTGTTGGGTAAGTTAGATCCCCAGAACTCACTTGAGAAAGGACCTGATTTTGATATTTTATTTAGAAAATTTGAATTTCTTTGTTTCCGCGCCAAAGGCTCTCTTGTCACCATCACGCGTATTTCCCACTGGGAAATATCTTAGATGCTATTGGTCCGTTGCGTCTTTTAGCATGTTATTTGGTAACTCTCATCAAGGACGGTTTTGTACTGTATATATACGTTTTGAATTGTGTTTGTTGTCATCGCTCGTTTCTGGCTGTTTGCAGAATATACTTCCCCATTCCAAGCTTGAACTTCTTCCTCTAGTTAGCGGGGCTGAGACGCATCAATAGCTAGCTTACTGGTCTTTGGTTAGCGAGTCTTGTTTCTTGTTCGCAGATTAAGTGAACTCGTGATAGCTTCAACCCTAGCAATTCCGACTCCTCCTATCGTAATAATCGGCAATAAGATATTCAGCGTTTCTAAAGAATGCATTTAACCTGGATATTGAACAATATATTTAATATGAATAAGTGATAAGTTACACAAGGATGACTATGCCTGCAAGGCTGAGCCATGCTGTCCAGACAATTCAATTAATAGTTCTCTCGTTCACCATCGTTGACCTTCTTTTGTGTTAAAAGTTGAAAGTGAATCCACTCAGTGATCATACGTTCAGTTTCAAAGATCGGGTAGTTAGAAACCAATACCGTCACAAGGCCACATGGTACAAGGTTCAAGCATAAAAGCTGGATATTCTGTTACAGAATAACTGAAGACATTTGGCGGATTAATACCTTTTTATTGTATATTAGTAACTTACTGTGTTTTGGGATGTATTTGTTTTACTTAACTTTTGAACTTGTTTGTTTATATCATTGTTTCGGACATTTTGGTTTCCCTTTGTCGTTGGTTTGGTATTTGGTAGCTTTGCTCCGGAACCTACAAAATTGAAGGTTTGTTTTGTAGTTGTTATAATTATTGTCGTTAGAACGGCATTTGGTCGACTATTTGTGAATTGCGAATAAATTTGGTGTCTGAATTGGAGTTTTGGTTCTGTTGTCAATTTGGGTTCGTAATTTGCAAGTAGATCGATAGTTCGTACTTCAATAACTGGAAGGAGCAAAACTTGGACGTAACATATTCCAAGGAAAAGTTTAGGAGGGGTAGGTGTTTCCAACTCGGAAAACTCTGTGTATGAAGGTTGCCTGTTTATTCACATAAGCCCTTTGAGACAACCAAATCGATGAAACTCATGTGCTGTAAATTGGAGGCATGCTAAAACGCAAACGTCACTAATGGGCGGAATATGAAGGAAATATAGACAACAGCATTTATAGACAGTTCAAACAATCTGGGGACCAACGTACAAAAGTAATAAGAGAATAAAGGCTTCACTATCAGATAGAGCCAATTGATCAATTATTTTCCAATCCGAAAAGCTTATTTTGCCATGCAGTTTCTCTTTGAGAGGTTAAAACTGGTGTTTCCCAATTACTATGTATCAACAACGACATTGACGCCACTGAAATATGGGTAGAACACTACAGCACAATACAGACATTTCAGCAGTTTCATACTAATTATATCAACGAGAGCTACTTTTGCAACTCAATAGGACTCTCGGAAGTGAATCTGAACCGCCACTTGGTGTATCAGAAACTGCAGTATATAGACATGGACAGTTCTGGCCTTTATATTGTCCATTCTGCTAAGCTCAGAGAAATAGCTTCAATCTTGGAAATACCGTTCACATTCGATAAGCCGGGACACAACACTCGAAAATTAGAAACTGGCTCATATTACACAAATTTTTAAAGGAGACGTACTTCTAGCTACAGGCCAATAAAACTTCTCTCAAAACTCATGGAGTCTCTGATGTATGATGATTTGCGTGACTAAGTGTTCTCTATAAACTGCTTTTATCCAAACAACACAGTTTCAGGAAGAGCCACTCTAGTTAACCAAGCCACTGAAAGTGGTGCATATATGAACAACCACCATTGGTCGCAAGGAAATGTGTAATGTCATATATATTGAATTTGGAGAGTGTCAATAATATGTATCTCATAAGTAATCTTGAACGATAACAGATTGGTTTACTTCATACATGAATAATCGGCTTTGTAAAGTCGGGGTAAACTACACTTTTTGCCAGGCTACTGAATTTTCTAGCGTGGTCTCTCAGGGTTCACCACAAGAACCTCTTCTTTTCCTAATCTTTTTAAACAGCCATCCTCAGTAGATATCATGCAACCTATTACTTTTTTCTGTGGATATGAAATTCTGGAGAGAAGTTTGCAACCAAGATAATAGGTTGACAATTCGGGATGATCTGACATGATATTAAAGTCTGGTGAATAAGCCTTAGCGCTTCAGAATGTAAGGTAGTCCATCCGAGATATTTTGCAGACTACAAATATAATTAAGGTAACTTCCCTTTTGGAGTGTCACAAGTTGAAAAAGATCTAGGAGTTTTGACATCTTATAGTTTGCATTCTTACGCCAACTGCAACAAAAATGCTTTCCAAGAGAACGTAGCACTGGTAACATTGGAGGTCATTTTTGGCCAGTTTGACAGGAAAACCTTCTGCACAATCTCCGACAATTTTCTTTGACCTCATTCAGAGTATGGAAATAAACTATTTCCTCCTCACTCCGGAAGGATAAGGATACATTGAAACTTATGCAACGGTTAGCTAGAAATCAGTTCTGGGACTCAGATTTAAGCCGTATGAAGAGCGTCTGTGATCAATGAGCCTTCATGCACCATAGTGTAGGCGTCTTAGAAGTAACCATATAATGACTTACAGCATCCTGAATAGAAATTTTTAGGTTTTGATTCCAGTACAATTTGAACAATAATGGTGTGTTCAGTTTTCTAATAAGTAGTCGATAATTCCAAATACGTAATCTAATCCAAAGTAATATATGTCAGAGACAAATCAGTGATGATCACAATTGATTGATCACTGAGTGGTGATCAATGTCATATATGTCAAGTCCTTCCTAGTGCAGATCGAATGCTATCGACCAAGTTGCAATGTGGTCACTAGTCTAGGGGACTCAAAATTGCGTGCATTATGTTGAGATTTGATGGTGGTTGGAGGTAGTCAGCAGGAAACCCTGGACCAGAGTTTTATGCTACTCGGCACTCAGATATCCTAGTAGTAAAATCCCGGACTGTGAAGCTGGGTGACACGGAATCAAATCCGTCAGGGAGCATCAGTTCCCTCAAGATAACAGGTAAACCTTGCTGACGAGTGCCAAGTAGCATGAAACCCTGGTCCAGAGTTTCCTGTTGACTACCTCAAATCACGACAAATCAGTAATGAGGAATAGATGTGGTCTACAAACGTATATGGTAATTATGTTAATGATCTATTCATAAGACAGAGGATTAACTGAGGAGTTTGTGGGAAGAATTCTACTTGTGGGTGATAATCAATTTATCTTGTAGGCGGAAACGAAAAGGAAAGCTCATGGCCAAACTAGCACAACAACTATGTGGTAAATTTCAGTAATTGTACAAACAAGTGAAATTACAAGAAATGTGAGTGATGAAAAGAGTTATTATCGAAAGAAGTTCATGCTAGTCACTTCCACTACAATACTGAGTTTACTCAACCGTTTACACCGACTCGTTACAGTGACATTTGATACTGGTACCATAATCAAATAAGGCGTTACATAAAGCTGGCTGGTGAAAATTGCGATTCTTTTCTGTACTTATCGACGAAAGTAACTGTTTTCGAACCACTTGACACACTTAATAGTGTTTACTTTGACGATGCTCGGAAACACGTAACTCTGATTTCATCATGTAAATGTTTGTAGATATTTACTCTCAGGAGTCGTGGTACGATGGGTGTCAATGTCAAATCTGTTGTTGATGACTTGGTTTTGAATTTTCGGTAAGTTATATTCTGTCCGAAAGGATTTCGCTCATAACTGGTTGACCGGAAATCTTAAGTAATATTGTTGTGGAGACCTTCAAGTCGTCATTCCCTAAATTTCTATATTCAACTGTAATTAACAGTAATTCTAAACGAAAGTATACGTTTGAGCTTACTTCAACAATGAGCTTAAATTTTTACTCAGTTTATTGAGTTATGTAACTGCTCCACCCTAGCATTCAGTTTTTCCTGGGTTGATGTGTTCAAATATATATCTATGATCATCCTCTACTTCATTTTATTTCTGCCAAACCATATCCTTGTGTTGAATTTTTCACAATACTGAGGAAAGTTAAGAGGTTGATCAAGGATATGAATAGAAAAATTGTAGGAGCACGAACATGCGCGACCTTTGCCAACGTTACATACAGTGAAATTTCCGGTATCAGTTCTATTTCATGTATTTATGTGAACATTGAGCTCGGTGGCTCCGAAGCACTCACTTAGATTCTGAGTTCCAATACTTCATGCTTTTACCTTGTGAGTTCGTTTGCCGAATTATAATCTCCATCTCATCTTTTTTTGCACTATCACTGATAATGCTACTTCTGCTGCATTAATACCTTATTAATTTCACCTCGCTCGGTTTATGGAGTGTTGGACTTTTTACTAGTGCATATTTATTCCGGGTTCTAAATTGCTTATGACTTGATGAGTAGCTTAATACCATTTCCACCCTGACCAACAGCAGTCGATTTCTGTTCTGGTCTCTATTTCCATTTAAGAAGCTTGAGCCTATTTTAATTTTCTTCGTTTCCCCTATGGAAAATAGTTCTGAGTGTATAATAAAAGTGTCCAAATTTTCTAAGCTTTCTAAGTAATAACTGATTTGTCTACCATCTAATTTGCTACGGTTAAAAATATCTGGGCATCGAATTTTTCCGGTATTAGTGTTACAAATTATAGTAAAAAACATTGGGGACAACACTACATTAGTCACTGCACAACTTAGCTATTTTTTGTGTGTGTGAAAAAATATCCTGCATTTGTCTATCCAGGGTGTTTTTTTAGCCATATCGTCCTTGCTGTATCTTTAGATAATTTCGTTTATTTTTATTTTTTATGGGTTTTCGTATCACAGCATAGATGATCAAGGCGAAGTTTTGAGCATTAAGTTTTCTGAGGATAACAAAATCTTGGGAATTCAGCGGACTCATCGATCAGTTGACTTTTTAAATTTTCAAGCCAATTGCCCCAGGGGTGTACAGTATTCTCAAGAATGCAAGGTTACCTTATTTCTTATAGTAACTTCTCACGTTTTCGTGTGTAGAATAAATCAGCAACGCTTCTGGGATTTGTGTGGTGTTCCAACTATGAGGTCCTTTTTGTCACAAACGAACAACTGGAGTTATATCAAGTAATTTTACCTTTTTGACGTCCGATAAACGTTTGCTGTGTGTAACCTAGTTTCACTTTCCTTGAGATTAGTCGCAAGTATGAGCTGACAGGTAGTGGAAACTATTTATTTATTTATTTATTTGAACACATGAATATTGGTACAAGAGAGCGCCAATATATATGCGCCACACAAAACAATGAGAATTCGAAGAGAAATAGAAAAAAGAACTAAGGAGCGCAAAAGAAAAAGAGAACAATAACGAAGAGATTGGTGTAAGGTAGCGTGGTAGTAACGAGGGAACGGAAAGGTACAATCAGAAGAAATCTTTCAGGTAAGGGAGACACAACCACTTTTTATGAAGAAAGTAAAAGAAGGTTACAGCAGGATCGCCACTGGCTTCTATTCTGAGCCATATCTGATAACGTCTCTAGCCACTGTGTAGCACCATCTCTCAGACCCCAACCAGGGAGTCGTGAAGGACCAACAGAAGCCAGTCCTTTGCAGCTTTCTTTCATACCACGACACCATGTCATGCACTGACCACCTCTCCGCTTCTTCCAACCAGTCCCAGAGTCGGCAAATAATGCACGACGTGGAATTCTCTGGGACGACATTCGTAGAACATGTCCAAGCCACCGAAGTCGGTGTTTCAAGATGGTGACACCAATTGAATTATCATCTCTGTGCCCGAACACACGATGCCGAACCTCTGCATTACTGACATGGTGTTGCCACTGAATGTCAGCAATCCTTCGGAGACAGCGATGATCGAACACAGAGAGTCGTCTAACGTCCTCAACTCGGAGAGGCCAGGTTTCACAAGCATAGAGCAAAACTGCTCTCACCGACGCGTTGTAGATCCGACCTTTTACAGCCAGACTAACATCACGAAGGCGCCAAAGGTGGCCCAGATTGGCATAAGCCGCTCTGGCTTTCACTATACGTGCATTGATCTCATCACTCACACCCCCACCAGCACTTATGCAGCTACCCAGATACACGAACTTCTCGACTACGTCTATCTGCTCACCGTCCAGGGTGAGTACAGGATTAGAATCCTGCCAGTCTTGTAGAAGTACTTTGCACTTCGAAGGTGCAAAGCACATACCATACCTACGGACACTGATTGCCAACTGATTAAGTGCGGATTGCATGCCTTGGGCATTATCGCACAGTAAGACAATATCGTCCGCATACTCAAGGTCGAGAAGTCTTTCTCCAGGCAACAGATCCACACCACCATTACTTACATTCATCAGAGCTGTTTCCAGAATGTCATCGATGGCAAAGTTGAAGAGGAATGGTGAGATTGGGCAACCCTGCCTAACCCCACTGCTCGAATGGAACAATGGAGAGAGGTGGTTGTATGCCCTCACTCTGCCTGAGGTGTTTTTATATGGGGCCTTTAGGATGTTAATAAACTTCTCAGGCACACCCTTCTTCAATAGACAATCCCAGAGAACAGTCCTGTCCAACGAATCGAAGGCAGCCCTGATGTCAAGAAACACTACGATTGTTGGCCTTTGATAAGTATGGCGGTGTTCTAACATTTGGCGGAGGGTGAAGATATGATCAATACATCCTCGACCAGAACGAAACCCAGCCTGCTCCTCGCGAGTCAATCTTTCTCGGGTTTTGAACAACCTACGAAGTATGACGGAAGCCAATAGCTTGGACGCAATCGGAAGTTGACTTATCCCCCGATAGTTGTTACAGAAACGACGTGAACCCTTTTTAAAGATAGGGACAACTATCGACTCATTCCATGACGTTGGTACACTCTCTAGTTCCCAAACCTTTGTAAACAACGTCGTCAATTCCTTAGTCAAAAAGTCACCACCATCTTTAAAAAGAGCCGGAGGTAAGTCATCTGGGCCAGGTGATTTGTAACGCTTCAAGAGTTGGAGTTCCTTGCGGACTTCCTCCTCGTTTGGTGGATCAGTCGTCACCGGCCATGGAGGGCAGGACAGTCTGACCGATGTTGCCGGAGCAGCAGGCCAGTTGAACTGCCCTTCGAAAAATTCTGCCCATCGTCCAAGACGTCGATGGATGTTAGTGATTGGCATCCCATCATCCTCGCAGATTGTTTCACTCACACCAGACTTCTTGCTGCCAGTGGCTCGGATGAGTTGGAAGAGCTTCCGGTAGTTACCAGATGCAGCTGCTGCTTCCAGCTCATTAGCACGCTTCGACCACCAGGCTTCTCGGTCCTTACGCAAGCTTTGCCCAATTTCCTTACGTAACATCCTTCGTTTATGGTCAAACTCACGGTCACCCGGAGTAGACCGACGGGCTTCAATGAGTTGTAAGGAACCAGAAGAAACCCAGTGCTTAAAAGCGGGACGTTTCGCAAACCCACAACTGACTGTTCCCGCCATTTTCATGGCGTCATGCAATTGCAACCAATGCTCATCTATACTTTTCGGTGGAGTAGTAGCTATTTACAGAGAAATCTAACAAGTATCTTGGTTTAGAAACGACTATATTAAGTAGTGTTATCGTTATTTTAAGGTTTCGGAAAATGTTACTATATTTTTAAAATAAATCGATGAATCGTTATTTATGTTCGTCTGCTGAACTTGGACGAACCGTATGCCGAAATTCTGATTTTTCGGATTTTTATTTATTTATTTAAACATAGCTATTTATACAAAGGGGCACCAAATCCATATGCACCACACAATAAAAATGAGGCTGTGAAGAGAGAGAATCTATGAGGCGTACAGGAAAAACGAGAACATCAACGAACAGAAATTAATGTATGATAGCGAAACAATAATGGTGATAATAGGAGTAGTTCAGTTAGTAAAAATACAACCGAAAAGAATTTTTTCAGTTTAATGTACGGTCACTTTTTATGAAGAAAGTAAAAGAAGGTTACAGCAGGATCACCACTGGCTTCTATTCTGAGCCATGCCTGATAACGTACCAAACCATTGTGTTGCTCCATCTCTAGGACCCCAACTAGGGAGTCGTGAGGGACCAACAGAAGCCAGTCCTGTACAGCTTTCTTTCATACCACGACACCATGTCATGCACTGACCACCTCTCTGCTTCTTCCAACCAGTCCCAGAGTCGGCAAATAATGCACGACATGGAATTCTCTGGGATGACATTCGTAGAACATGTCCAAGCCACCGAAGTCGGTGTTTCAAGATGGTGACACCAATTGAATTATCATCTCTGTGCCCGAACACACGATGCCGAACCTCTGCATTACTGACATGGTGTTGCCACTGGATGTCAGCAATCTTTCGGAGATAGAGATGGTCGAACACAGAGAGTCGTCTAACGTCCTCAACTCGGAGAGGCCAAGTTTCACAAGCATAGAGCAAAACTGCTCTCACCGACGCGTTTTAGATCCGACCTTTTACAGTCAGACTAACATCACGAAGGCGCCAAAGGTGGCCCAGATTGGCATAAGCCGCTCTGGCTTTCACTATACGTGCATATATCTCATCACTCATACCCCCACCAGCACTTATGCAGCTACCCAGATATACGAACTTCTCGACTACTTCTATCTGCTCAATGTCCAGGGTGAGTACAGGATTGGAATCCTGCCAGTCTTGTAGAAGTACTTTGGACTTCGGAGGTGCAAAGCACATACCATACCTACGGACACTGATTGTCATCTGTCTCTGCGCGTGATCTATTCTGAGCCATGTCCTCAAGAGTCTCCAACCATTGGTTACGATAGTCACGCTGACCCCAGCCAACTAGTCTGCATCTACCAACATGACTCAGACTAGAAGTTAGTGACTTCAAGCACTGATGCCACGTTTTGGTTTGGTCGCCCCTAACTTTCTTCCAACAATCTCGAACACCGGTTAGCATTGCGCGTCGTGGTAATTGGTGTTCGGGCATACGTAACACGCGGCCCAACCATTTCAATCGATGAAGATTCACAACCTCATCAACTGATTTACCGTCATTCCCTAATACACTGCGTCTAACCTCACTATTACTGACCCGGTGATCCCAGCAGACGCCAGCAATATTTATAAAACATCTGTGATCAAATACTAGTAAACTAGATAGATATTGTAACTTAATTCTGCCTTTAAACCCACGTAACCACTCCTTCTCAGGCACCGTCCAGTCATTGAGCTAACAGTTCAAAGATAACTTCTCACTGTTCAACACGCGCTACCAATGTTTGAAACTGACTATTCAGTGACATCAGAACACGGTTGCTGATTCGAATGGACTAGACCGTAAAGTGACTTTTAATGCTATTGAAAGTGAATATCAACGTATAGTTAATCTGCAGCACGACACTACGATAATTCAGCGTGTTAATTCCGATCAACCTGAAGTATATGTGGTCCAACAACCATCCAACTGGTTAAATCTGCCCCAGCAAAACCTAGTCCATCTTACTCAAATCCAGTCCAACAGGCAAAGATGAAACCTCCTGCTCCTGCTGGTACTGTAGTGTATGGCATTAGCGACCGACGTGCAATGTTTTATGGTGTAGGAGTAGGATGGAAGAAAGCTAGTGGCTGCCAGACTAAAACACGGCACAAATACATGAAGTCACTGACAGGTAGATTGGTCCATTTTGGTAGGTGTAGACTACCTGGTTGAGATCCGCGATTCGATAGCAACCGATGACTAGACAACTTGAATGGCATGGTTCAAGATCGTTTGCAGTTGCGCAGGTGCATCCACTCTTTGTGTTCTCCCAAATTCTGATCTTCTGAATTCTTCATGTAACTTTCTTTTTTCTCTTTCCAAATTTATTTCACTGGATAAATACTCCTTGAATAACATCTTTAAACCCTAATCTTTTCGATTACTGTTTATACTTTTACTACCTCTATCACTACGGGATTTGAATCGATAATTGTATCCCAGTGCTAATGTGGTGTGGCAACTTGAACTGATGTATGTACGTATGAAGTTCTGTGTTGCTACTGACTGACTGGTGCATGGCATTATGTGTACGAAGCTGTCCTTATAAACAACATCGTTGTAGGAAGTGTAAATCAATGGACCACAAAGAGGGATTTTGT